TTCCCTTAACATCTCCCATCGTCTGCACAGAGAAACATATTCTGACCCCAAGAAGACCATTATCTCTTTCTGCAAATACAGGAACAAAATCCCACATTCAGGCTGGTGCCAGCATCTCGTGCCTGTTGGATGTACTAGGGCAAAGGCAGTGCTGAGACAAGGCAGTGTTTAGCTGTTCTTTGCCCTTTCAAACAGGGGTTTATGAGCCAAGCTTTTCAGGCTTCAGGATGTTTCACCTGCCTTTTTCAACTCATGTCAGTTTAATGCTAGTGGAGCATTCCAGATGGGGAGCATTCCACACTGGGCCTGCTGGCAAAGGGACCAGTCGTTGGGAATTGCGTTGGGTGGTTTCTGTGCAAGGATTACCTGTCTACAAGGCTCTAACATAGGGCCCTCTGATTCTTTTCATCCACTATGAGACAGAGAGCGATGACTTTATTTTCCTTTCACCTGGCCTGAGTTTGGTTTGGCTCTGAGGGTAGAGGAGGGAATCTTTGTCATGTCAGCAGCCCCCAGGCTGTCTGACTGTCTCCAGCAGTTCATCATATAATAGCCAGTGATCCTCCTGTGAAAAAAACAAACTTTCCAAACCTTATTTCTGGATTGTTGGGGTAACGGAGAGCACAGCAATGAGAAGAGATAGTGCTGCATACATGGAGTTCAGTGTTTGGAAATTAAAAGCACCTGTAAAGGAAAGGCTGACATGGAGTTCATGACACGAAGAGAGGCCCAGTTTTGGCTGGGACAGACAAGTCCCCCATTGAAATGCGAGTGCCTGCTTCTGTTTTGCTTTCTGTGATCAGGTTATTTGTCCTTTTTCCTTTATGGCTAATTTTTCTTGTTTCCCATACTTGGGTTCCACGGGCAATCTCTCCTTACCATTCATTCCTCATCTTCCCTCCTCAGTCTTCTCCCTGCCATGGTATTTTTCATCTGAGGCTGCCAGCACCTCCCAGTCTGCTTGCTCAATCCGTGGTTTTCTGGTGTGTAAAAAGCAGCACTATAGCAACAATAGAAGATCACTGTCAGGTGGAAGGGGGAGGAGGGGAAGGTGTGATTCTTGATTCCATTCCAGTGTGTTCTCACCACAGCCTTGGCTCTAGTGACTGAGAAGTTTCTTCAAGGCCCCTTAAGAATAGAAAGCTAAAAATAGTTTCAGTCAGATGTTCTTAAAGGTACTGCTAACCCTTTACCTTCCTGGACTTGCAGTTTCTTTGTAAAAACATGACATGTTCCTTTGTCAAGATATGCGTGCAGCTGTTGCCTTTGTGTAGGATGCTCCCAGAAGGACAGCTGAATAGTTCTTGATCTTCTCCAAATCAGGAAGTGAGTTGTCAGCGCAGCCCTTCTCTCACGCAGCAAGGTTATAACCACTGCTTGAGAAACTACTGCCATGGCTGAATCATTTAATCTCTCTAGAGAACCAGCAGCTCAGCCCACCAGGGACAGTGCTATCTTCTGCTGTTATGCTGTTATGACTAGTGTAGACCATTTCTAGAAGATACAGAGGAGTTTCTGTTCTCTGACATCGCTCTCAGGCTGATTACATAGTCATGCTGGTTACTTGTGTGGGTTTTTTTAATTTTGGAAGAATTATTCTACAGGGAAGGACCAAATCGGAAATTGAAGGGCGGACCATCTAATCTTAATTTTACTTTGAAAAATTCCATAGCTTTCAACAGTTAGTAAGATGACAGAACTGTTATACTCACCTGCTTGTGGAGGGGCTGGAGAAGGAGGTAGAGCAACTTTC